TCCACATACTTTGGGCAAGCTGCCAGGAGGGACTGCTCCTTGGGGAAAAAACATCACGCTGGGAAAAGTGAAGGGTTGAGAGGAAGACCCTCAATCGGATGGACTGACACACTGACCGTAATAACTGGCTTGAGCATACCAGAGAGATCATGAGGATTGCACAGGATAGTGCAAGGTTCAGATCTATTGTTCACAGGTTGGCTATGAGTTACAGTCAACTTGATGGCACGTACCAACAAGAGAACTTTATAGCACTGGCCTAAAGCTGCAAGGCTGAAGGGTCTGCAAGCATGTTTAACAAGCTGTCCAGAATGAGAAATTATACTCTATGTTGTCAACCTGAGTTGTAATCTGTTAAATGCTAAAATTATGAGCATGGATCTGCTATGCAATTTTGCAAAATTGCTACTGTAATGAATTTCAGACCCAGTAAGTGATAGGATTGGTGGTGGAATTAGCGGACATAGGTACAGGAGCGTGAAGGACATGTCTGACCTTAGGAGGATTGGTTTTGTGTTATGGGTGTTCTTGATGGCAACTGTTCATTATTGTAGAGTTAGTGGAGGACAGATACAGCTGTCCCTGCACTGCTTTCATTCTTTTTACCCTGAAATACTTGAAGGGGCCACTCAACACATTGTCTTCCCCATAGGAAAGTCATGAGTCCGATCAAGAAAAATGAAATCAACACTGAACATAATGATTGTGAATGTTTGTAGAATTAATGTAAACCTTGCAGTAGCAAGTACCTACTGTCTGGGATAAATACCTAGCCTGACTTTGCCTCAATTTCCACCTTTACCAAAAGAAGATACTGGGACCTACCCTATATGCTGTGGTATAAGCCTTGCATAATGACTGACCAGAATTAGAATCTTGGCTCTGCCATATTCTAACTAAGAGACAATGGATAAGTGATTTAATCTCTTTGAATTTCCATTTCCTTATCTGTAAAAGGAGAAAGTAATATTATTAATAATAATAACAACATTTCTTTTTCTCACTGTACATAAAAGATATGTATCCACAGCATTGGTTATTCTAACTTTTCTCCCCAATAGAATATAAACTTTTTGGATGAAGCCTTATTTTCAATCCTGTCTATAAGTTCGAGTACAGAATAGACCTTGGAAATCCAAAGATCTTCAGGGAAACTGGTGATTTTTACAAGATTCTGAGTGTTTGTAATTTCATGCCTTTGTTTACACTGCTCTTCTGCTCCAAATGCCTTCCTAATCTCAAATTTGCTCAACACTGTCACTCGTCTTAGTCTGCTTCAAATGCCACTTTTGTGTAGGTAAAGAACTAAAGGCACAAGGTTTGAATCCACCAGCTGCTACGTGGAAGAAAGATGAACAATCTCTTCCCCTGTGATTTACTGCCTCTAAAAACCCGATGGAGGGTCAGCTTTGATTCGGTTCCAACTGACAGTATATAACAACAACAAGAATGGTAATTATTACCTTCTGTCATACATTACAGTTATTTAAGCACTCCTTGTCTCATGTGTATTTTGGTCCATGCCTGCAGGAATCTAAGTGCCTTGGGATATGGTCTATGTCTTTCTCAGCTGTGCAGCTCCCAGCACTGTGCTGGGTAGATTCTGAATTGAACTGTTCCGTTTTAGCATAAAAATATGGAATCAGAGACAGTCATAATCATCATCATAAAAAAATTTTGAAGAAACTGCACAAAACAGGATGTAGGCATAAATAAGAAAGGGTATGCTGAATCCATCTGTGACCACTTGGCTTGGTTATATCTGGTCATTTTCATCACATGGGTTTCATTTTGCTAGAACTCCAGAAGACTGAGACAAAAAAGTAATGGTCTACCAGTTGCTGCATTCCCAAGTCTGTGGTTTTTCCCTGATGTAAACAAAAGAGCGGAAAGGTACAGTCTCTGTTAATAGCTGCTAGTATGGATCTGGGGGTGGGGAATGGGTGGTAGTGGAGTTTGAGGAAAATGGACTGATGAACTGACAGTTCATATAAGCAACACCTGGAGTGCTAAACCCCCTCTAAGTGTTATTTTACTGAGAAAAATATGTCCATTCTTCCTTGGGTGAACGTAAAAATCCCTTTGCCAGCTGCATTCCAACCTCAAGTGTGTGGCAGTTCAGGAGAGATGACAGCTGGAACAGATCATGGTCAGGATGTAGTCAACGTTCACCAGCAGCTCGGGGGTAATCAGAACCTACAAAACGAGCCCACGGGGCCCTGTTCCTGCCTTTATTTTCAGAGGATGGACTGGCCTCAGTTTGCCTGCTCTGAGTGCTCCACTCACAAACACTCAGAACCCTGGAAATACATATCAAGATCTGACTGGCAAAAGGATCTGCTTTTTGAATAGAAACTTTGTGGCATCAGCTATTTTAGAACTCCGCAAATCATTCCATAAAACCCCAAACTAAGTTTTTGGTACTGGTTGTATTTTTGTTAAATATTTATAATCTGCAAAACCAAATTCAGACCACATGTCTTCTTACAAGACCTTCCACTCCGCGGCTCCTGACCAGAGGGAGAGGGGATATTGAGCACTTTATGAATGGCACCAGGCCAGTCACTCTCTTCATGTTCTGTCCTATTTCAACTTTGGGGGCAGACAGCTGCATTCTCCTCAAAGGTGAGGAAACCTGGTCCCACAAGGGTTAAGTCATTTGCTCCAAATGCCTGGGGGCAAAACTCCAAGCGCTAGGTCGGTGTGCCTCCAGAGTCAATGTTCTTTCCATTGCACTCTGCTACTGGTCAGGATGCTCCCGAGAAGTTTTCCCCGATTTTTCAAGTATGCTACAAGAGCCTAAACCTCTAAAAGATGGGTTGGCAAAAGATTTCTGTCCAGAGCCAGATAATAAATATTCTGTGGCTTTGTGGGGCATATGGTTTTTGTCATAAATACTTAACTGTGCTGCTGGTAGAGCACAAAAGCAGGCACACAGATAAGCATAGATGAAGAATGAACACAGCTTATGTGCCAATAAAACTTTATTTATGAAAACAGGAAGTGGGTTAGAATTAACCTATAGGCTGAAGTTTGCTGACTCTCAGTCTAAAAAGTTATACAGATTGCTATTTGCCCAGCTGTTGTTGTTATGTGCCTGTTGTCTGTGATTTACAGCAACCCAATGTACATTAGCTCTGAACCCTGCTTTATCCTAAGACAACCCCATCATCTCCTGACAGACCTAATTCCATTTCTCCACTCACTGAGTCAATCCAACTGATCCAGGGTCTTCCTCTTCTGCGCTGTTCCTCCACCCTTCCAAGCTTAATGTTCTTCTCTAAGGACTTGGTCCCTCCTGGCAACGGGCCCAAAGTATGTCAGAGCTTCAAAATCCTTGCCTCCAGGGAGCAGCTTGGTTTCACCCTCTCTAGGACTGACCTGTCTGCTCTCCTGGCAGTCTACAGTATAGTCAACACTCTTCTCCAGCACCACAACTCAGATGCATCTGGTCCTTCTATCATTCGTAGGTATTGTCCAGCTCTCTGATGCACAGCAAGTAACTACAAAGACCATAGCCTGGATCGGCATACCTCAATCTCCAGACTTACATCGTTGCTCTTCAGCAGTCTAGAAAGATTCCTCACAGCAGACTTTCCAATGTAATTTGTCTTCTGATTTCCTAACTGCTGGTGCCAAGAATGTTGACTGCTGAACCAAGCAAGCTGAAGTTGTTAACAATCTCAATCTCTTCTCCATCTATCATAAAGCAGCCAGTTGGCCTAGTGGTGCAGAATCTTTGTTTTCTTGAGCTTCAATCCATACTGAAGACTACAAAGAATCACCTATTTCTAAAATAAATAAATCAAAAGTATGAAAAGCTTCTTTACCAAAGCTATTATGAGTAGCTGGCCATTACCCGAGTTCCAGCTCACAGTGACCTCTACCGGGTTTCCCAGGCTGTACAGCCTCATGGGAGGAGACTCCTCATCTTTTCCCCTTGCAGCTGCTGGTGGATTTAAACCACCAGAGACTCTAGGACTTTGGTTAGCAGTGCCACATGCCTGCGCCTTTTTAAGGTATAGTTTGGGCACCAAAGGAACTTTTAGGAAGAGATAACATGGGCACATAAAAGCCAAGATAGCAACAGGAAGCAGAATATGGCAAATGCCATAAAATGGGACTAGAGACTGAAGGCAGCTACAGAATTAAAAAAAAAACAAACAAACCAGGGTGCATGGGACCTTTCCAAATTACTGAGGAGTAGGGATGTCAGTTTGAGGATGAAGTCTGATTCAAGCCATCATCTTTCCGATTACTAGCTATGCCAAGACTTGGACAGTGAAGAAGGATGACAGAAAAAGAACTGACACCTTTGAGCTGTGGTGTTGGAGAAGAGCACTGAACATCCCATGATGGCCAAGAGAAAGAACAGATATGTCTTGGACATGTTGCCAGGAGGTGCTATTCCTTGGAAAGGGACATGATGTTGGGAAGGTGGGGGGTCAGCGAAGGAGAGGAAGATCCTTAACCAGACAGATTGATACAGTGACTGCTGCAGTGGGCTCTTGTGTGTCAAGAAGTGTGAGGATGGAGCAGGACAGATCTTTTGTGCATAGTGTCGCTATGAGTCACGCACCTAACAACAACAACAATGATCCTAATCAAATGCTCCTGCACTGGCCCCAGGGCTCAGACAGGACTGAAGAAGAGTTAACAGGATGGAAGGAAGAGATGGCAAATCACTGCCTTAAGCACTAACACACACACCCATTCTGTTGAGATCACACTGAGGTTTTCAGCTTGTGTCAGATATTAATCAAAGGCAATTTCTCCTTTGGACTTCCAAACACATTCGATCCTTGTCTCCTTCTAAAAGGACAAGAAAGTTGGCCTAAATACAAGATAAACTGAGTGCTCTGGGAACTCTTGGAGGCCTTTCCACTCGCCCAGCTGGTATTTTAAGCACCAAAGAACCGTGAAGCTATCAGTAGGGGCAGCAGAGACCATCTGGAGTTGCTCTTCAACATCTAATCAGAGGCCGCATCTGAACAGCTTACCTTGCTCATGGCGGTCAGGGCAGGATCGCAGGCGGCATCTAGATCCTGAACCAACAACTGAATACTGCTCGAGATGACGCTGCAAATCAATCAAAAGGCCACAGTTTTATTTCAAAACGGACCTGGTGACAATGGAGAGATATTCTGGCTCTTTGTTCATTCATGTCCTGGTCTTACCTGAGGGTTTCCTCTTCCAGTTAGGAAACAAAATTCTATAGTTTGCCTCCTTGGTGGTGCAATGGTTAAGAGCTCAGTTGCCAACTACAATGATGGCAGTTTAAACACACCTGGAAACCCCGTAAGAGAAAGCTCTGGAGGTTCTGTTCTGTATAGATTTTGGGACACTTCTATTCTGTCATACAGGGTCAGCGAATCAAAAATAAATTTCAAAATGCTCAACAATAACAGAATCTCTATAATCATAATCCCAGAATCCACCTTTGTGTCTCCCTCCAAATATATTTTATCAAATCAGAAAGGAAAAAACTTTCTTTATGTAACACATAGATAAATAAAAAATCAGGGGAGAAGAAGTAGCCTAAAAAGAAAACTTTGACTTTTTTGCAATCAGTGGTTGATATCAAAACAGAAACTTGGTCTATCCACAGCTCATTTAAAGCCAGTGGAACAAGGACTGTTAACAAGGACACAATTGGAGAAAGAAATAGTCCATGAAGATGGTCATCCAGGAAGCAGCACATCAGCTTCTTCGATTGAAAAGCACTGTTCAACCTTCCCCTGTACACGCCCCTCTCCAAGGCTAAACTCATGTTCTAAAACACCAGAGGTGGTGCAGGCCCTCTGTGGACTGAGGAAGGGGACAACTTATAGTGCTCATGCCTGACCTTCCCGCAGGGATGTGCAAGGAGGATTCCGTCCTTTTTGTTACACTGGATAGTGTAAAATAAGGGCCGTGTAGCTCAAAAGATGCCTGCACCTGGGGAGACAAAATGGGAGGCAGAAGCACCAACTTCTCTGTGGCTGGTGGAGAATAACCTTGATCCAGCAGAAAGAGCAAAAGGCTTGGAAACCTGTCAGGAACTACGCTGACCTACAGCCAACAGCCTGGGACATGCTGCTTCATGAAGGACTCAGGGCGGGTCTCAGGCAAATACGTGCAAGGTACCTACGTGCTGAATGTGTCCATTTCTCCAGTCAGGTTGATGCGCTCGGTCAGGCTTACGTCAACCTTTTCTTTGAGTTTTTCTTCTAGCTATTAGAAAAGAAGACAAACAAAAGTACACTTACTGATTCTCCAAAGGCGCAGTAGAAGGACAATAATTAGCATTTACGGGGTTGATGGCACAATTCTAGACACTTTTCATGTATCAACTCATTTCATGCTCACAACGTCTTATGAAGAAGATTCCATTTTCATGACCAGTTTCCCAGTGAGGAAACAGAGGCTCAGAGAGGTCAAGTAACCTACGGTGGTAAGCAGCAAGGCTGGAACAAACATTTCCTTCAAAGCCCGTGTCCTTCAACTCTGTAACACACTTGCTTCTTATGACACAATGCTAACTCATCCCATTACCTTTCAAAAGGCACTGATTTTAGGATGTCTCCTCCCCACGAACTTTAGGCTTGCCAAACACACTGGAAATCTTCGGTAATGTATGGCAGTAAAATCTGCTGAAATACTTGTTGAGTGCTGCTGTGGGCTGGGTACCAAATCAGGTGATGGGGATACAGCATTTCTGCCCTCATCAGGCTACAGTCTAGGATAGAAACACTCAACAGGCAGCCAGCAGCCCCAAACAAAAACACATCTAACAACAACAACAAAATATCCAATCTTTTGGTGCTGATCTAATTCTGTGGTAACTTCATGTGCTATGAAGTATAGCAACTAAGCAAGAACTTTAACATATTTCAAAAGATCCCTGGAAATGGGGAAATCTAGCACTTTCAAACCTCTTTCCCCAAACTCTAGTAAGACAGAAATGTTTTGTCTTAAATTTTAAAATGTTCTTAAAGAAAACCCCAGCTGTCTTTGAATCAACCCCAGCTCACAGTCAGTCCATATGTAACAGGACAGAACTGTCCCACTGGCTTCTCCTGATTCTGATCTTCCCAGAAGCAGATCACTTAGGCTTTACCTAAGTAAACACTGACTTTTTTGTCTAGTGGTGTTGCTGTTGTTATGTGTTGTCAAGCTGGAACTGACTCATAGCTGACTCTCCAGTGGGTTTTCAGGGGCTGTAAATGACATGGGAAGAGTCTGCCCCCCTTTTTCACTTGGAGATGTTGTTGGATTCAGCGTGCCTTTAGTTTGGCAGCACAACTGAACATAAACCACTGAGTCCATTCCTACACATGGTGGCCTTCTACTGAGTTCCTGAGGCTGTAAATCTTAATGAAAACAATATGTGGAGGTGGAAGTTTGGGTGGTCCAATCTCCCACAGAGTGGTTAGCAGACTTGCAGGGCTGGCCTTTCAGTTAGCTGCCCAGTTACATCACCAGGACAGGCCCCTAGGGCTTCAGATGGTCTGGGGAACATAACATAGTCTACAAAGACAATGTTCTTTATCCTGCTTTGGTGAGAGGTGATCAAAGTCTTAAAATCCTGAGTGGCCATCTAAGGAGCAACTATTGGTTCCTCCCTGTGCCGAGCAAAGAAGACTGAAGAAAACCAAAGACACATAGAAACAATCGGTCTGAAGGTTGAATGGACCCCACAAACCTCAACCTCCACAACAAGGACCAGAAGAACTAAATGGTGTCTTTCCTGAAAGGGATCACAGTGGAGAATTCTGCACAGGGTGAAATAAAAATGTGGAACAAAACTGGAAAACCATAAAAACAGCCAGGCCTGATGATGTGACAGAGGTTGATGCAACCCCTAAGACTAAAATCCTGAGTCACTCGTCACCTGTAACTGAACTCAGCCCTGTTGTTATTGTTATTGTTGTTACTGTGTGCCATTAAGTCAGAACAAATTCATAGCTGACCCTCCAGGGTTGTCAGAGGCAGTAAATCGTATGGGAGGAGACTGCCCATCCTATGCCCTCGGAGTAGCTGGTGGATTTGAACCACGTGTCTCTGGGATTGCAAAGTAGCTTCCTACCACTAGGCCACGAGAGCTCCCTAAACTCACCCCTATGTTTCAATTTTCAGACAAACAATTGTTGTAAAGTGCTGTCGAGTTGAGTATGACTCATAGTGATCCTACAGACAACAGACCTAAGCCCTGTCCTGTCCTGTGCCATCCTCACAATCTCTGAGAGCCCACTGTTGCAGTCACTGTGTTAATCCACCTGGCTGAGGGTCTTCCTCTCTTCTGCTGACCCATCTTCTCAAACATGATGTTCCCCTCTAAGGAATAATCCCTCCTAGCAACATGCCCAAAGTATAACAGATGAAGCCTTGTCATCTTTGCTTCCAAGGGGGACTCTGGCTGTACCCTCTCCAAGACATGTCCGTTTGTTCTTTTGGCAGTCATGGGATGTTCAGAATTTTCCTCCAACACCACAGAACTCTCCTCCAACACCACAGTTCAAAGGCATCCATTATTTTTCTACCATCCTTATTCACTGTCAAGCTCTCAACAGCATAACAAGTGACTGAAAAGCCCATAGTCTGAATCAGGTGTACCTTAGTTCTCAAACTAACATCATTGCTCCTCAGTGATTTGCAGAGGTCCTTGACTGAAGATTTTCCCAGTGCAATATGTCTCCTGATCTCCTGATTGTGGGTACCAAGTGTATTGATTGGGGATCCAAGTAAGATGAAGTCGTCACAGTTTAAATCATTTCTCCATTTATCATGTCATCTATCAGCGCAGCAGTGGTGAGAATTTTTGTTTTCTTGACATTTTGATGCAATCTATATTGAAGGATGTGATGTTTGATCCTCTTCATCAAGTGCTTAAAAGTTTAACAGTAACATCAGGGAGCTACTCACTCCTTAGGATACTCAATCATACAAGATCAAAGAATTGCATTAACCCAAGAATAAAGGTCAGAAGGTAGGAAAAGATAAGATGGGTATAAATGATAATCGCAGGGAGGAAGAGGGAAGCTGTTGTTGTTGACCCTCCAGCAGGTTTTCAGAGGCAGTTAACTAAATGGGAGATTTCTCATCCTCCTGTGGAACAGCTGGTGGATTCAAACTGTGTGGCTTCAGAATTACAGTGCAACTTAACACTCAGCCATGAGGTCTCCCTACAATAATGAGGGAGTTGTAATGAATCTTATACAATAAAATGCACACAAATGGTTAAAAAGTGAAACCAATTTGCTCTGTAGACTTCCACTCAAATCACAATAAAAACTAAAACAAAAAACAAAACAAAACAAAAACCCCCAGATATATTTCTGTTCTCACACAGTTCACATTCTAATGTTTGACAAAACTGGAAGCCACACAAATTCTGACACACACTCACAATGCTTACTCTTCAACAACCTCTCTGTTGCACTGAAAAGAAAATCTTAGCTTCTGTTACTTAGATCCTGTCTAGTTCTTTGGCCCACATCTCCTTGCTCTCTCCCTTGCCTGCCAGCCTCCAGGACACTGGTTTAAGCTTCTGGGGCCTATGAAGGTATTTACCTGCATACTTCCTGCTTCTACCTGAAAGGCTTCCCTAACTTAATCCCTGATTTAACATCCCCGCCCCACCTCCAGTGCTCTTCTCCATTTCCTAACCCTCAGGTCTGCTTTGAAACCACCTACTTGGAGGTCCTCCTTGACCACTGGATTTCAGCAAGCAGGCAACTCCCTTGCTCTCTCCCCCAAACAACTGCTTCCCTCTGAGCTGCTGTTGTGCAGTGCTGTCCAGTCGGTTCTGACTCATCCAGAACCACACACTGCCCAGTCCGGAGCTAGCTGCACAACGGGTGCTGGTTTGACCTCACTGCTGCAGCCACTGTGCCAATCCGTCATGTTTAGGGTTCTTCCTCTTTCTCACTGACCAAGCATGTTGTCTCTCTCTGACACTCGGTCCAAAGGATGTGAAAAGAAGTTGTGTCATCACTTCTAAAGAGCATTCCGGCTACACTTCTTCCAAGACAGATCAGCTTGTTCTTTTGCCAACCCTGCTGATATTTCTGGCCAGCGCCGTAAGTGAAAGGCATCAAGTCTTCTGCTGCTAGATACCCTCTGACTGACGGCAGCTGCCCACAAGTGAGCAAAGCACTGTCCGCGCCGGCAGCAGCTTCACATGCCCTGTATGCTTCAGCCCACTGTTAGAGCCACTGTGGTAACTCACCTCACTGAAGATTTCCCTCATGTCACTCACCCTCCACTTCAAACATGGTGTCCCATGTCAATCTTTTCTCACGGTCAATCCGTCTTAGCACTTAACCACAAAAATCTTGTATTCCTGGCATCTTACATTAGTATGTTACATATTACAACTAATGAACCAAAACTGATAGGTCACTGACACGCTTTTTAAAAAAATTTATTTTTCAGTTCTTCACTGTTTGGATTCTTAAGTATCTCTGACTTTCTGTTTCTTCCTGTCCACCACTATTCCTCCAATGAAACTTCTTTTATCAAGAAACAGGCCACCTGCCCTCCAGATTTCCCCTGCTTAGACTGTGCTGACGGTGTCCCTAAAGCATAGAGAAATTAGTATGCCCCTCTGTCCTTTGCATTTGCTATAAACTGGTAGTTGATTGTAGAGGCTTGATCTGAGTCAGGTTCTTTTTTTAAGACAATGACTTCATGTACATCTAATAAGTAACATATAAAGTTTGGTGGGGTGTGTGTGTGTGTGTGTGTGTGTGATATCAACAGCTATTGATATTCAATGTGCAGAACCACTTTCCCATGAAGAGGTTGTAAAAACACTATAGTTGGCACGGAGGCGGTGTTATCTGAAACCCTCTAACTTGATAAGGGAGGAGGAATCTCATTAACCACAGTTTCATCACAAAGCTGGATCATGTGAGGTCAGATATGCCCCATGCTCTTTGCTCAAAACCTTTTCTACCAATTCTAACACTAACTGTCCAGTCCACATCGTTCATTATCTCCCTAATGGGTTCAAGAATCCACTGCAACAGCTATAGAGAACTCAAAAACAGTACTCAAAACTTCGGGATTTATAAGGGAAGGAACAGGTTATAATTCCGGTTCAGGAACAACTCTGGATACAGTTCTTGAAGCAGCACAATAGCCTCTTCCCTCAGTCTCGCTCATAAAGTAGGGCTTTCTCAGGGCCTGAGCTTCATGGTCTTGCCCTCCGCCCTTGTTGGGCAAATGCT